TCCCAATGGGATAACGAGCCTCAGGCACTAAAGGCAGGCTGGGCTGCTGGAGTGAGCACTGATGATCCATCAGCAAAGGTCATGTACTGCTGCTTGCTTCAAACCTAATTGCATGATGTGGCAGTTATGCAGATGAGCTGTAAACTTTTTTTCAGGAAAAAACTGCACCTTTTTTGGGTAATAAATAGTTGGAAGTGTCCCTGTCTTAACCTTTCCTACCTCTTAACCTTCTGCCTCTGCAGTAAAATCAGTCTCAAGAGATGTATGTTTGTGTCATACTAAAAATAATCTGTGTCATAATTGTTCCACTAACCAGCATTAATTTTCCCATCTCATTCCCTTGTCATTGCAGTTTTCAAAAGGCTAGGCAGGGCTTGGAGTGCTCAGTAGCTGTTAAATCTGCTGGCTCAGAGTCTTTACCTTTCCCAGAGTGTGTGTAGTGTGGGGAGTCCTTCATTTTTGTCTTTAAGTGCCATATTTTACTTTCAAGGACCTGGAGCTGGAAAACCAAGATTTGAAGGATCGAATGAGGGAGGTGCAGGAGGAGCAGAGGATGCTGCTGGACAGAATCAGTGGGCTACAGCTGCAGCTCACTGAGGTAAAGCAAGGCTTGGCAAGCTGGGACAGCCACCTGGGGCTGACAGGGGTTAGGATCTGCTTTCCTGGGAATCACTGCAATGTGTGTCCCCACTGCCTGCTGGAAAAGCCTCTGGTCTTGTAGTGACACCTGAATTGTGAGGGGGCTGGTGCCATGTCCTTGCCTGGCACCCGGAAATTTGGGCAGCAGCATCTGTGGCTGTGCCCCCCAGTGCAGCTGTGCCATGGGCTGCTCTGGAGTGCTGCAATTTGGAGCTGAGCTCCATCTTTCCATTAAATGTAGGTGGTGAATGGCAAGGCTTTGTCATCAGCTGACTTTCCAGCTGTTACTGCAAGTGCAAGCACAGAGAAAAAAAAAATCTTCAATTGACAAGAAAACAGCCAAAGGTTTCCAACAGAAGTTTCTCACCCAAATTTGAAATGCTGATTTAAAAAAAAAAATCCCTCTTTTCGGAGGTCTAAATGTGACCAGTAGAAAGAAAATATAAAGAGGATTTTTTTGTTGGTTTTTTTTTCTTTGTGGAGGCTGTTCCTTTGCTGTATTTTTGTAGAGGTGCATTTATGCAGCTCCTCCTAAATGTAGCCCATGGATAGAAAGAATATTTCTTAGTGCAGTCAGTGGCTTGTCTGAACTCCTGTTTTAAGCATTGCCTTTATGAAATGAACTTCTTAATAGCCACCTCCCCAAATCAGCAAACTTCTTAAAAGCTGAACTTGGTTTTCCAGTTCAGTAGTGTCTGAGGTGGAAAACAGGAGATATTCCAGTTCCCAGACATTGCTCTGTCAGACACCCTTAACTCCTGGCTAGAGAAATAGGAAACAGAGCAATAAAGCCAGATGGAAATTGGAAGGGCAGCATTAGAAGCTGGGGTGGATTTGTCAGCTGATGAACTGTGTGTGAGCCCCTTAAACAAAATTAAAAAAATTATTTGGGGGGGATTTTTTGTCATTTTTGCAGGAGCAAATGTTTGCAGATGATCTTGAGAATGAGGTAGGATGTGTCACCTGCAGGTGTAACAGCACTGGGGAGTAGGGGAAGCAGCTCTCTCTTTTATTTCCTCTGCAGTTGTAAATACACTACTTAAAAGCTACCTAAAAATGCCAAGTGAGGCATCTACTGCTATGGATCAGCTTATGCAGCTGCACAGCATTTCTGCAACTACAAATAATTATCCTTCCCATGGCTCCTCTAAAGCTCACTTAGGATATTGAGCACATTGATAATATTAAGCATCTCTGTAGTGACTTTCAGTAGTGCAAGACTAACAAATATGAATTAATTAAACAGTAGCAGGTTATGTTGGTGCATATTCCTGACTCATTCCTCAAGACTCCTTCTGTAAAGGAGCAGTCTTGAAGAACTCCAAAAGCAAAAATTAGGGATTCTTTCGGTGCCGATCTTGGTTGAAGTTCTGTCTAAACTCTTCGAAAAGTTCCTTGAGGTCTTACAGCCCTGTCCATTCTTGTGGCTTTGGCTATGTGGCACTCCTTCTCTTTCAGAAAGATGAGTTGAAGAAAATCCTGACTACCAAGGAAAAGCAGCAGGAAGAAAGTTTAAGGACTATTGAAGCTCTCAAAGCTAAACTCAAGTATTATGAAGTATGTTGAGTGATTTGAAATGGGATATAGCAATTGGTATTTACAGTAGGAAGTACTTCAGCATGTTAAATTGCTGCAAATGCTGAATGGTTATCTCATTGCAAAAGCTTTCCCTGCCCCTTCACCCTAGTTTAACGTAGAGCAGAAATGTGAAATGAATTTTCAGCCTTACTTTTGTTTCTTGCCCTTTGATTTTAGGGCGACTCTGCGGGGTCTGGAGGTAACTTTGGAAACAGTGAGTACAGTTAGTTGTTAAAGCTTGCTGTGCATGGTGGGGTGTTGGAATACAGGGATAAAAGGGGATTTTTGGTCATCTCTTCCTGCTGGTCTGAAATGCAGGCAGGCCCTCGTCCCCTTTCCTGTGGGGATTAATTAAGTAGAAGTTGTTTTAATAACAAGTGCTTAAACACCAGCCTCCAGCCTGGCGTGACCCCAGTGACCAGAATAGAGCTGGGCAGGAAAATCAGTGTTCTTGTGATTGTGTTCCTGTTTTTAACCAGAGCTAAACACTGTTTGCTTTGAAAATCCAGGAAAAGAAGATTTATTACTTAAACAAGGCCAAGCATTTGCAGTGGAATCCCAGGTAATAAATATTTTACCACTGGAAGGAACTCTGAGATAGTCGTGCTGGGAAAGCTAAACGTGCTTATAAAAGTGTGTTTATTGAGCATTGCTTCTGAGCACACGGTTTTGGGGAATTCTTGCTTTTCTGTGTTTATTTTTTACTGCGGGTGCCCTCTAGAGTCCTGTCTGTGACAGGCTGGAAATGCTGGGAGAGCTGTCCTGAGCTCTCCTAAATGTGTTTTACACAGCCACTCTGTAAATTGGGGGCTTATCTCCATCATATTTTTCTAATTTATTAATGTATTATAATATTATGATAAAATAATATAATATACAGATTATTTCATTTTCCTGCATGCTATATGACAATTCTGTTTGATAGTTATCAACCTTTTAAAGCAACAATTTGGGTACAAACAAGGTCCAGCAGACTCTTTGGGGTGGAATGAGATGGGCTTTAAGGTCCTTTCCAACCCA